TTTAGAAGCAATTTTAATTGGAAACACAGCCGTCAATATTTGGTTTTTAATTCGGTTTTTATTGGGGTTTATATTGTTGTATTTTTGTATTTTTTGTATTTGTGTATAGTATCTGTTTTTTAAATATGCTGTGAACCGCCCTGAGTCCTATGGGAGAAGGGCGGTATATAAATTAAATTTGAATTGAATTGAATTGAAGTTATAATCCCCACCCTCGGCGTTTAAATAACGTCTCAAAACGTATTTGAGGAAGGAAAGCGCCATCAACTGCCTCCATCATTATTTGCACAGGAGTAATTCTGGTCCAGTATCACTGCAAGATCATCCACCATCTCCAAGCGCAGGTTATTTCCACATCATGCCCCCCCCCCACGCCAGGGAGAAGATGGACTAGCGGGGTCCTTGTCTTGTTCAAAAGTTTGGCAGCCTTACTGGAAAGCCTGGAAGAAGTTACCTTCTCCCCCCAAAGGACGTTTCCCATCGGCAAAGCCAGACCCATGGCCGGCCGCCGGGGTATATAGGCTAAGCTAAGGAAGGCGGAAAAATCGCGCTTGGGCTCGCCAAGCAGCGACCGAGGCGCCCATTGTTGTCGTCTGAAGAGCAAGCGTTAGCACGCGGCAAAAGGGCAGGACGCGGCTCTGCGCTCGGAACCAGCCAGGAAGGACCCGGAGAGGAAGGACCAGGGCAGGCGGGGGAGGCCTTAACCAGCAAGCCCTTTCATTAGGGGCGGCCTGGGAAGCGCTTTCCCCCCACCCCCACTCCCACTCTGTAGGCCGCACCGGGCGGTGGCAGCCGAAGACTCCGCCGACGCCCTCACCCGCTTCTGACGCCGAGTCCCCGTCCCCCGGCGCCGCTTCTTCCCGTCCCCCACGAGGCCCCGGCGGAGAGAGTTGCAGGATCGGACGGCGGCCCACCGGCGCCGCCCGCGATTTTTTCCCCATCGGAGGCAGCGGAGCGCGCCACTCTCGACAAGAGTAGAGGCCCGAGGAGGGCGAAGCGAGCGCAGGCTGGGCCTACCAGTGGAGGCGGGGCGGCGGTGGGGCGCAAGGAGAGTCGGGATGATAAGGCGGAGCCTGCGCCGCCCGCCGGCGAGGGCTGGGTGCGACTCGAGGCCTTGCGTGGCGAAAGGCGAGGGGTCCGGGGACGGCTCCGCTCCGCTCGCATTCTCCGCCCGTCCAGCCGTGCGCGCATGGTGCGGACGATTGGACGCTTCCCGTCCCGTCTCCCAAGTTGAGTGAAAAACCTCCACGTAAACAAAAGGGAGACGGTAACGCAGGACTGCGTCGTAGGGCGATTCATTGCATAAGTTATTGTTCTCCATTTTGTCCTCACAATAGCCTTACCCGTAGGGGAAAGTAGACGTGTGCGATTGGCCTAAAGCAGTGTTCCTCAACCTTGACAATTTTAAGGCATGTGGACTTCAACTCCCAGAATTCCACAGCCAGCAATGCTGGCTGTGGAATTCTGGGAGTTGAAGTCCACATGCCTTAAAATTGTCAAGGTTGAGAAACACTGGCCTAAAGCCTCCCGCTAAATTTCGTAAGGTTCGAAGTGGGCGCGTTGAAATCCTGCTCCTCGTAAAGCACATAATTGGCTGCCTGATGTTTTTCACCATGAGAGCTGCTTTTTTTTTTTTTTTTTTTTGCAAATTCTACTGACAAACGGACATTACAGCAATGATCTTGTAACTCCAACACGTTGGGATTGGCCAATATTTTACTAAAATCGGGTAATTAACTTATTTGCAGAGAAAAGTGGTTAATAGAGGTGATCCTCGACTTAAGTCCACAATCGGTAAACGGAATCTGGTTACCGATGAAGGAGAGTATTTGTAGCTCAGGGCTGAAATGGGGGGTCCTTGGTGCTCTCTGAGTTTGTTTTCTTGTAGATATTTCATTACCCTAACTAGGTGACATCATCAGTGCTAGTAAGGAGTGCTGTTTGCTATCAGTTTATATTCTGGTGTGTTGCCTGTCTGGGTGGGTGGGGGTGGTCTTAGGGATTCGTTAGTTGAGCTGTTTACTAATGGCTCTTTGGCAGTTTCTTGATTGGGGTATTGCTTACTTGATTTTTGGTCTGAAGTTGATCTTGGAGTTAATGTATGCTGATCTGAGTGCCGATTACTGGTGGAAAGATGCTGGAGTCTTTTTCTCTTTTGGACTAGTTTATTGTTTCCTTTGCATAGATCTATAGATCCAAAATAAGCCAAAGAATCCATGACTGCATTGCTTCACAGCATACCTGACTTAATTGAATACACAAAGATCAAAATACGCAGGGTTATGGATCTCATAAACCTTTGCTTAACTACATACTTCCAATTTGATGGCCAAATTTACCAACAAATTAAAGGGACACCTATGGGATCACCACTTTCAGGACTTATAGCGGAGGTCGTCATGCAACGTCTAGAAGCCATAGCACTTCCACAAATACAACCAAAAATATGGATCAGATATGTAGATGACACCTTCACCATAATAAAAAAGGACCAATTAGAGAACACCCACAGAATCATCAACAATATTTTTAAAGGAATCCAGTTTACTAGAGAAGAAGAATACAACTTGCTATCCTTCCTGGTCATCTTGATCAGCAGAGACCACAATGACAAACTAGAAATACAAAGTTTGCAGAAAAACCACCCATACTAATCAGGTGCTCCACTACCAAAGCAACAACCCAACCTCCCACAAGAGAAGCTGTGTAAGGACTTTGTTTAAATGAGCCCAAACACACTGTAGCAACCCAGAACAGCAGCATCTATACAACACATTCCAACAAAATAGATACCCAAAGCAACTTCATCAAAAAGCCCTTGACCACTCAACCCAATACAGCACAACCAAAACAACCTCTAAAAAGAATTATACTGCCACACATCAAAAAATCTCAGAAACTGCAAATAGACTGCTACAACCACATGGAATCAGCATAACACATAAACCAACTAAAGCCCTTCAAAATATCCTAAGCAAACCAAAAGACCCAGCAACCCCAGAAGAAAAAATGAGTCATCTACAACATACAATGTAAGAACTGCAACAACCACTATGTAGGATAAACAGGAGGAAGACTGGTAGAACGCATCCTTGAACACCAACTGGCAGGAAAAAGGTATGACAAAAATTCTTTAATTTCACAACATACAGACAGATTTAACCAGTTTCAATTGGGAAAATGTGACAATCCTAAACCAGGCCAAATCCAAAAACGCCAGGGAATTTCTAGAAGCCTGGCACTCTGACAAATCAGCCATCAATAGTCACTTAGACGTTAATAACATCTATAGACTATGCAAAGGAGACAATCAACTAGCCCAAAAGAGAAAAAGACTCCAGCACTTCTTCACCACCAATCAGCACTCAGATCAGCATAGATTAATTTCAAGGTCAACTTCAGACCAACAATCAAGTAAGCAATACCCCAATCAAGAAACTGCAGAAGAGAAAAAAAAATGGAGAAGATAACAAAATACAAAGATCTGCAAATAGAAATAGAATGACTATGACAAAAGAAAGCAAAGGTAGTATCAATAGTAATATGAGCCTTGTATGCAATCCTAAAACTAGAACACCACTTGAATGTTAGCAACATTGACAAATTGACAATTGCGAAAGGCAGCTTTACTCAGAACAGCTTACCTCCCGCGCCAATACCTTTTACACCATCAAACCCATCCGCCTATCCCAGGTCCTTGGGAAGGACTGGATAGGCAGATAAAAATGCCAAATAGTAATAGCAAGAACACTTAGACTTATATACCGCTTCACAGTGCTTTACAGTCCTCTCTAAGCGTTTTACAGAGCCAGCATATTGCCCCCAACAATCTAGGTCCTCACTTTACCGACTTCGGAAGGATGGAAGGCTGCGTCAACTTTGAGCCTGGTGAGATTTGAACTGCCAAACTGCTGACAATCGGCAGTCAGCAGAATTAGCCTGCAATACTGCATTCTAACCTCTGCCCCACATCTGGCTGACTGTGCAATGAACTATGGATCAACATTTCAGCTAAGATTATGGCTGAATCCATTTTGCAGGCTGTAAGCATCTGCTCAGAATGCTAAACAAACAATCAAATATTATGGTATTTCAAGCAAAATATCCAAATACACTTTATTTGAGGGAGTTTAACATACTATACAATAAGTATATATAGTAGCTTCTGACTGAACCCATTTTTTTAAAAAGCTGTACATTTGATGTTATGGTAGTGGGTTTTTAAAGTATTTCAGCTCCAGTATCTTGCATGAAAAAATTTAATGTGTGGAAAGTATTAAATTCATTAATTTTTTTCCTGAAAAATGTCAAAATGAGAAAGAAGACATAGTTCCAAGAGATCAGTTAAGTGGTTATTTTCTATTCTTTCTTTCTTGAGAATATTGGTTCATACTTTTTATTTGCTTTTTTAAAACAAACTTTTTTCTTCTTTAACAATATAAAATTTTAATATTTATTTTGTTAAAATTAATCTGGAAATTTAAAACAAAACTTCATTTTATTAAAGGTAATTCAAAAATTGTAACAATAAATAAAACCATTTTAGTGCCCATATATGGTACAGAACAAAGGAGATCATACAAAATATTTCAGTAGAAAAATTCTAGGAACATGCAATATACAAACAATTTTTCATTCTAGGTAATTACTGACATCCAGCTTAGTACAGACTGAAGCTTAATTTAATGCAGTATCCCCATACTAAAAAAGTTCATCATTCCCTGATAGGGAATGTTTTAAGTATTATGAAAAAATAGAATTTATAATAATAGCACCACCAGCAGTGCATAGGACACCTCATGACCTAGTCAGTCCATGCAAAGCAAATGCTTTACATATACTTCATGCCAGTTACACAGAATAATTTAAAGCAGCATTTTCCAGCCATGGCAATTTCCTGATGTGTGGACTTTACATCCTAGAATTCAGTCAATCTGGCCTTTGATGAGAATTCTGGGAATTGAAGTCCATGCACCTGAATGTTGCCCATGTTGAGAAATACTGGTTTAAAGCACAGTTTTTGTAATTTTGTCCCAAGGACCTCCAGGCACAAGATTGTTTACTAGTTTCGACAAGATCAAGATTGTTTGCTAGTTTCGACAATACAGAAGATGAACCGCTGTTGCCTTATCAACCTGCTTTTGGTAGACTTCTAATTTGTCACGCACTTTCTGATAAAGCTGAAAGAGAAAAACAGCATAATCCTTTTAGGAACATTAGAAAGATGAAGACTGAAAAAAATAGGATTACTCTTCAATAGGATTACACCTCTATTCCTTTTCTTCAGACACTACTGCCTCCTGTAATTACTTATAACAATGAAAACCTGTTATAAAAGTATTAAGTAAAAAGCACAGAATCTTTCTTTGATTCTCAGCAATTTACAATACAGTTAAAATGCAAAATTTCCTCACAAGAAGACCAAAGGAATTGCATATAGGTGCAGGAACTGGCTAATTGTAAAGATACAAGCTTTATAAAACCTTTTGGTCATAAAGCAAGAGGAAAAACTGTAAGCTAACTAATTTTTATGAAGCATACTGATTCTCCCAAAGTAGAACAATTTGGAGTATAATCCTGTCTGTCATAGGATACTTTCTACCAACATTTGACAGGATATTTGGATAAGTATGAGCTTCAATAATAACTGAAAACCAGCAAGGACATAGTTATAACATGCATCTGTAAACATTTAACTACAGTTGAATTCTACCTATCAGCAATAATTCGACATATAATGAGTGTGATTAGATTTTTAGACGTTTATCTTGAAATATACACAAGTCTTTACCACATGAACTTAGTCCTTTTGTCCTAAGGAACCAGGATTAAAGTGGGAAAATTAAAATTATTAATGTTCATTTTATCTAAACTGTAGCTTTAGAATAAGCTAGGACATTAAACCAATTTAAAAGCATCAGTTCCTTGCTCATTTTAGAGTGCTCCTCTAAAATCTACTCACATAAAGCCTCCTTATATTCAGATTACATATAACTCATTGAATGTATATCCTTTCATTTATTAGATCAGTTTCAAAAGCAAATTAAGAATGTAGTAAAAGCCTTTTTTATTTAATAGGCAAATTTTACTTTTTGTAGCTTTACTTACCATTGTGTTATGATGATTGGTTGTGTTTTCTCCTAGTACCTGAAGAAGCTGGTCAATTGCAGAATAGGGAAGCCAGACAACTGGAGTTGTAGCTGATAATGGGACCTATAAGGAAAGTGATATGATTAATATTAATTAAATATATATGCTGCCCAAACACCAACAATCTGGGATTTTGAATGCTCTTCAATTAAAAAAGAAAAAAAACTCAAAATATTTACCGCTCAGCATGGCTGAGTAAAATTTTAATGGGATCAAATTCTGTCCTGAAACAGAAAAATAAAATATCCCCCCTCCCCCAAATTCTATATTAAACAAAAAGAAAATTATAGTACACATTTCTATTATTAATAAAGCAATGATTTACAAGTCCAACAGATTAAAGTAGATGGACATGACCAAGACAAATCTGCTATGACTGTACAGAGAGTATGAGTGCACTTCAACAATCATCTCACCATGGCTTATGGCTAACCCCAAACACATCCTTCCTATAGTGCACATTGTTACATGCCAGGGCTTTAAATAATTTGTTTCTTAGTTCTCATATCACAAAGAAGAGAAACAAATCTAAAACGAGCCTTGGATTATTTTACATTACCTCTCTTTGTAAGGTATGTGGATTTTTGCCAATGTCATGAAAAACATGGAACAATCTCTATAAACAAGCTAAATTAGCTGCTAAGATTCACAGAGAGAAGGGTGCATGCACAACTTAATATATTCAATTCATAAACCACCTCAATATGTTATTTCAATGTACTCTGTTTCTGGGAGCCTTCTATAGATTTTGATATTGGAAGAGAATTTGTCTCCCATTCATCAGCAGAAACTACTTCCACTGACAGAGACTGCATAAATAAACAATACATGGATTTCTTTCCAAATCAGACCTGAGACAGCTCCCTAGATATGAAAGACTAAGTTTGATACAGACTGTGAACATGGCTTTTTTCCCCCAAAAAAATCCTGCCCATTTCTCTCCTCCCTAATCAAGATCACAAGCTTGTCTGCATTATACTTCAATTCAGCTATATTCCAGCATACAGATACAAATTTTAAAAGGCTCTACTGCAATAAGATGCTTTTATTACAGAATATTTAATTATATTTAATTATTTTATTCCATTTAAGGGGAAGGAATGATAAAGACATATCCCCTGTACCTCAATTCCAAAGTAATCATGTCCTTTCCCAAGTAAGGCATCCACATACTCCAACACCAAATCCACAGCTTCTTCTAGGAGATCATAATTCAAATAGAGTCGGAGAAGTTCCGCAGCATCTACCTTCTATAGAGGAACAAGCAGAAATCAATCAGGCACCAACTACCATCGGTGGCTCCAAGTTATAGCAATGCTCTCCTTGCATAAGGACCCACAAAAGGAACCAGATAATTCCATGTAGTTCACACCAAAATGTCTGTTATGGTAGAGGTACTGATGGGATAGAGTAGAGAAAAAGGCAATGATGATACCAGCAGCCGTAACGGGTCTCATACCACCCTGATCTTCCCAATGTCTTTTCCTATTTGGCTGCTGCCACAAAAAATCCATGACTTCAAGTGTGACACATCCAACCTGCTCACCCACCCCAAATATCCATCTTCCTCTTATTCTTCTGAGGATTGCACATTTCTTCCTATTTTCACAATCTTAAAAATCTGCAAATTATTTATTTAACAAATGCTGGAGGGGGGGGGGAGAAGGAATTTCAACTTACTGAGATGGAATTACCTTTTCTTCATTTGGCTGAATCTCCTATACTACAAGCTATGAAGAAACTGTCTGTATTATTTCTATCACATTTCCTTATAGCTAGAGATCTTAATGATATTCTTCTGGGCCACTAACCAATACGAATTTAAGAAGCTCTATACTGTTATGGTTCTCATTCTGTCTGATGATCTTGGGATTACTCTTAGCAACTTCATAAAGATGGGTTAGGAAAGATCATCCAAGAATTGAAAGCTGCAGTGTCTATTTCTCTTTTTTTTAATTTAATTGCTGAACAATATTACATTATACTAGCTGGAAAAAACCCAGGCCCTATTCAGTTTATTACCTGAAAAACATATACAGATAGTCCTCAATTTACAACAACTGAGCCGAAAATTTCTCTTGCTAAGTGAAACATTTGTGAAGTGAATTCTGCCCCATTTTACAATCTTTCTTGCCATAGTTAAGTGAATCACTGCAGTTAACTTAGCAACATGGCTGTTAAGTGAATATAGCTTCCCCATTGACTTTGCTTGTCAAGTCGCAAAAGATGATCACACGATCCAGGGACACTGCAACCATCATAAATATGAGTCAGTTGCCAAGCATCCAAATTTTGATCATGTGATTATGGGGATGCTGCAGTGGTCACAAGTGTGAACAATGGTCATAAGTCACTTTTTTTCAGTGCCGTTGTAACTTTAAACAGTCACTAAATGAACTGTTATAGGTCAAGAAGTACCTGTAATTTACTTTCAAATAAAATACTTTCTAATCTGTTACTAATTTTTGAGAGTTAATTGCTAATGAGAATCCTCTAGCCCAGGGGTCCCCAACCTGTGGGCCATGGCCCACTACCAGTCCATGGCCTATGCAACCAGGTGGTGTGAGTGGCTGGCTGTTATGCGCTGGTGTGCATGTGTAGAGCCCTACTTGCGTGAGTGTTGCAGGCGCTCACTCACGTGAGCAACAGGTGCTCATGCATGTGCATGCAGCTGCCCCTCTCAAAAAACTATCCGTTTTCTCCCCCACCTCCCCCAGGCCACCAACCTGGAAAGGTTGGGGAACTCTGCTCTACTCAAATTAATTTTCTACAAACTGAAGTTATTTACTTTGTAGCTGTTGATAAGCCAGTTAGGTAAGGGAACACCATGAGACAGCAATTTATTGATTACACAACGGTGGTATGGGCTATTCTCTGACTTATACTTGTCCAGGTAGGAGGCTAAAAGACGCCAAGCTTCATCTGTTGCACTGCAATAAACAATTGGAATATATTTATTATACTATCAATGCAATCGCCCCTTTTTTCTAAATATGCACTTATGCATGTTTGTAGTCTCTCTCTCTCTCTCTCTCTCTCTCTCTCACACACACACACACACACACACACACACACTTTTCCTCAAAGATTTTGGCTATCATGACATGTTTCCCAACTTTTCTAGACTTTAACACATATTGCTTTGCTTACTTTTAAGGTACTAAATGCAACGTTAAGGTGGACTTTTCTAGTCTTAATAAATGATGAACATTTTTATGAATGCTCTTTAACAATTATGATTCATTTATAAGGCCCAACTATCTTTAAATATTAGTCACAGAATCACATAGGAGTAACGACTGGATAGTTGCAAGGAGGGAAACATCCCTGATGTCTACCCACCTCCCACATGCACCAGTTCCAGTGAGACCTTTTCCTTTAACTGCCATTTTTGTCACAATAGGTAAAAGGCTCACTTAAGTTTACATTTTGCCAGTTCCAATGTTTTGGACAAAACTCAGCAGCACTTTTTCATGCAGCTGCTGATAAAAACAGGATCGCCAATATCCGATAACGGATATGGCACAAGAAGAAGAAGTTCCAATGTATTCTTGTGCTTTTTTTGTTTTGTGTTAAATAGCAGGTCTTACTATTGGTGCCATTTAAATTGCATTTGTTCTAAATTCATGTAACCTGATTTGGCTATCTTGGTATTTCCTGCACAACTTCTTCAGTTTATTTAAAAAAATTGTTCTTCTGCTATTGTTACTTTTCTTTTCTGCTTCATTTATCTATTTGTGTTAGAATGAAGAATCTTTTCCCCAAATCATTTGTTCAGCTTTTGTACATAAATTTTGGCAATGAAGGACCACCATAACCAATCCCATTAAGGTTTGCACTTAATGTTACAAGATTTAAAGAATAAAAAGTGGTTTGAATTGTTCCTTTTAACTTTGTTTTAATGTGGTTTTTAACTTGTATTTAACGATAGCTTTTATATCATTTTATTCTTTTCTTTGTAAACCGTCCAGACACATAAAAATGTGATAGGCAGTAGAGACATTTGGTAAGTAAACAAACAAACAAACATTTCATTCCTCAAAATATTTTCAAAATTTGTTCAGTTAAATGGAATATTTTATTAGCAAGAATGTTACTTTTATGCAAATGTATGAGATCACCATTTAAATATACAACTTTACCTGTTCTTCTTGGTTGTAATGACTGATGACAACTGGTTTACAGCAAGCCAATCCCATGCTTCTGCCAAAACTGCTTCCCCTCCAAACTGAAGTTTAATACACCTAGAGCATATGCAATTAAGCAGAATATATAAAACTAATATTTAAAAAAAACACTGTTGAATTATTTCTTTTTGCCAAAGGAACAAAGATCTACACCATTCCATTGTATGAAGATGATTATCCTAAGAAATAATACAAAATCCAAGTCCAGTTGACTGAGGGATTGAATATAGATTTTACTTTTTCTAATGCTCAAGTCTGAACTTAATACTGGTTTCATCAGTAGGAGGGCTCCCTATTTTAAATCATTTTCATCTATTATTTTGAGTGGTGAGATAAGGAGTTTCTTGGATGATTGAATCAGCTTATCCATCCATCAAATCCTCTTTTTTCACTGCTCCTAGTCATTCCTCCTACATAGGCAGAAAGCAAAATGAATTTTCTTCTTCCTTGAAATTATTGTACATATCAAACCTACCAACATTAACAATAAGTTGAATTCATCTTATCTCATCATCATACATTCAAGTTTTCATAGACACTAATGGTCTACAAAGCAAAAACAAAAAAACCCCAGATCCATTCAAGGCTAGGCCGTGTCAACATGATACAAAAACACTGATCCCAGTAATGAATCCTTCTGGACTTCTATAAACTTTTCATCAAATGACAATGACCACAACTCTGGATATAAAATCTATCCACTGAATTCACACTACATACACTACATCACTAACAAATCATATTGCAATTTAGTATGACATTCTACTCTTTTCCTCCATCTCACAATCTCCTTCCGTTCCAGCCCTTGGCAGGGCTCAATTTATATCCAAAGAAAATTTATAATGTTGGTTTACAACTGAAAAAGAAGGAACTCTTTTAAACTTACAAAACATTTAAAAATTAAGAAATATTCAACACATTGTAGCATTCACGCTCCACGAAGAACCCCAATAATTTGTCACGTACTTGAAAGTAAGACCGTCAAACACAGGTCTTAAGGAAAGCTTGTAAGTCTGGCAGAGAGTAATAGCCATGTCGAAGAGACCAGCCTGCACCAATAGGGCAACTAACTCCTTGGGGAATGAGTTTCCTGGGAAGATAATAAATCTGCCGATTAACAAATGTGATATGTGTTAACATGTAACTATAAACTCCAATAGAATGGTTTCAGAAATAAAATTATTGTAACTTTGAACTTTTACAAATGCAAAATTAAATACACCATATCGGAGTGATTTATACCCACTTTGCATATAGGAGCCAGATATCTATTTAATAAAATGCTATGTTACATACAGAGCAATTCCCCCAAGGATAGTGTTGTGTGAGTCACAAAGATTATAATTGTACACTAGACAATAGCTACCCAGAGACTCAGTAAAAGGAGGTTTCAGTAGGACTTTTGGCAAGCTACTAGTATTTAAGCTTGTAAATTAAATTGTTTATTGCTGGAGGGTTATTAATATATATTCCAATGTTACCTGTAATAGCAGCTGATGTTGGATCATGTTGTGCCAAAGTTAACCGTATGTGAGCCAACATACATTCTTTTTCCAAGTCCTGTAGCTCCAAGATTTCAATTTGACTCCCCGCTGTGTCAAGTAATATTTATTAACACTTCATTATAATAAATTTAAAACACTTTAGACCAGTGGTTCTTAACCTGGGCGGTACCGCCCCCCAGGGGGCGATTTCATTTTTCAGGGGGGCGATGGAACGAAAAGGGGCGGCGTGGGGGCGATGGAACAAAAAGGGGGCGATAGGGGGGCGATGGAGCGAGATGTTTTGAGGACACTTTTGAGCCTTCCCCTGCAGCTCCGAGCGTCCTCTGCCATTTGTAGAGAGAGACAGAGAGAGGCACTTGTGCTTCTTTCTCTCTTTCTCTCTCATGCGGATTTGCCCCCTCGCAGGGCTCCTGATTGGCCCTGTGCCCGGGTGCCCCGCCCTCTGGGAGAAGTGCGGCCAGGAAGTCCCTTTCCCAGGCTGGCCCCATCCGAGGTACACGTGGTCGGGGAACTGCACAGGGAAGCCTGGAATCCCCGCTGGGAGCAGCCTGCCAGAGCCTCTGCTGAGCAGGCCAGCCTTCCCGCAAGCCACAGCCCTGAGAGAGAGCAGCCCCTGCGATCTGCAGCTGCGGGACCATTGGCCCAGCTGGCTGGGAAGGCGCGCCGGAGTCCCGGCTGCTTTGTCAGCGAAGAATGTGAGGTGAGCAGAAGATGGGGGGGAGAAAGGGAGGGAGAGGAAAGAGAGGGAGAGGGGAAAGAGAAAAAGAGAGAGAGAAAGAGAGAGGAAGCGCAAGTGTCTCTCTCTCCCTCTCTCTTTCTCCTCACCTGGAGAAAGGGGGGAGGGAGGGAGAGGAAAGAGAGGGAGAGGGGAAAGAGAGAGAGAAAGAGAGAGGAAAGAGAGAGAGAGGAAGCGCAAGTGTCTCCCTCTCCCTCTCTCTTTCTCCTCACCTGGAGAAAGGGGGGAGGGAGGGAGAGGAAAGAGAGAGGGAGAGGGGAAAGAAAAAAAGATAGAAAGAGAGAGGAAAGAGAGAGAGAGAGGAAGCGCAAGTGTCTCTCTCTCCCTCTCTTTCTCCTCACCTGGAGAAAGAAGGGGGAAGGGAGGGAGAGGAAAGATTTGACCACCCACCCAGTCTGCTCTAAAGGCACAGTGAAAACACAGCCAGCACTCCCCCTGAAAATCTCTCATTTTCACTCATTTCNCCAGCCCTCACATCCACAAAATTATTAACTTTATTCTGGGGGAGAGAAATGAAAGTTTATATAAATTCATTTCACATTTTAAGAGGTCTGCAGTATTGCAAAGTTGTGATTGAGAGGTTATGTTGGGGGAGGGGGGCGATGACAACTTCCTCATTGGCTCAAGGGGGCGATTCGTTCAAAAAGGTTAAGAACCACTGCTTTAGACCATGAATATAATTCAGTATTCAAGTCACGATCTCATTAATTTGTTTCTAAAGAGTTTAGAAAAAGCTTTTGATATGACAAGTTACATTGTTCACACCATCTTTTTATTCTTGATGCCAAAAAAAACAAAAAACCCGCCATTGACATATCCTCCTTTTTCCCATTAGCCACAAATAATAACACTGGAAAACACAGGAAACACTTAATCTGAAATCCCAAACGTCTTCAGTTCCCTAGACTAGTTCTTAAATTTTCAAAGCTTTTGCCTGATCTTCTTGACAACAGGTCAAGAAAATGTAATCATCAATATTGTATGGTATAGAACCATGTAACTCAGACCCACATATCAAGGTTATATAACTCTAGCTAGCTTAGAAAAACCAATTTGTAATTACTCATAGTAAAATATATCACTTACTTGGAGCAGCAGCACACTCTCCATCATAATTTCTTTTGGGGGATGCTCCTGGACGTTCATACTAGAATCAAACAGAATAAGCATTCTAAAGGTAAGCCTTCAGTCTCTATAGCATCTATAGTATGCATAATGAAAATAGTTTATTTCTTCAATCATATCATAAGCTTCACTGCATTACCTTATACTCAGTGAACGAAGTCTTTTTATCCATTGCACCCATGTTGCTTTTAGCTACAAAGTCAATAGTTTTCATGCCATTCTAGTGACTGGCTAAAACCTTGAAAAATACATCAGCAACTGCCCAAGAGCTTCACGTATTTTTATACACACACACACACACACACACACACACACACCCCGAAGTTTTCATACCATGTTCCCTCGAATTATATTATTTGCCGTCGCCTGCTGTCTAATTTATCCCTAATTCCACATTCTTCTTTGATTCCCCTAAATTAAAATCACCAAATTATCTGAAAACTTGGATCATGAAAGAAGAATAAAATGGGTTCAAGACATGCGAGTTTGTTTACTTTGTTTAATTTATTCTGGCCCCAGAAATTTGCCATTTCCTTGTAACGTAATTGTACAGGTACTCCTTGACATGACTATAATTGGGACTGAAATTTCTGTCGCTAAGTGATGTAGATGTAAAGCCTGACTGCATTGCTTGGCATCGGCAATCCCTGCAGCCCCAGTTGCTATCATTAAGTGAGACAATGTCACTGTCACTAGTGAGGCAATTTCCTGCCAGCTTCCCACACCACAGTCAAAGAGGAAGCTGGCAGGAAGTTACAAGTCCAGATCTGTAGGTAAGTGGCTGCTACCAGCTTGGGGAGAGATTGGTGAAAGGTGCCGTGCAGGTTGTGGAGGGCACGGGAGGGCACAAGTGGCTAGTGCGAGCGCCAAAAGGCTTGGGGGGTTGCACACTGGTTCTTGAGAGGTACCCTGCAGGTAGAGAGGATTACAAAGGACATGTGGGGGTGTGCCAGAAGTGCTATGCTACATAGGTTGGGGAGGCTGCAAAGACACTGCATAGATCAGGGATGCAGGGGAAGCGCCCTGTGGGTTAGGGAGGGTATGTGGGGGTGCAGTGCTGCTTTGGGTGGGTGTGCAGGGGTGTGCAAGTGGCTGATGCAGTATGAGCATAGATAGGCTGGAGATGATGCACAATGGGAGATACTTATGCTAAAACCCTCCCCATAATGCTGGCTTCCCCATGGATTTTCTGGGGAAGACAGCAGGGAATATTGCAAATTGTGATCACGAGATGCTTGACAATTGGTTGTAAGAGTGAACGGTTTCCCCAGACCCAGATGACAATCACGTATGTGACTACAAGGATTCTGAGATGGCCATAACGCCAAGATCACTTGTAATCACAATTCGTTCAGCACTGTCATAATTTTTAACAGTCGCTGGACAAATGGCTGTAAATCAAGGATTACCTGTAGTTATTGACACTAAAGTGTTTAACTTTGGTCACAATGAATCCCATGAATGAAATATGTTACATTCAGAGGCAAAATTATTTTTCTCTTCTGCCTTAAGCATTAAAATAATCTTGTACTATTACATAATGGCACATATTAAAATGAAATCCCAAAGTACTGCTCTCGAAAGAAAAATGCCACTACCAAACAATATCACCATCCCAAGGATAATATAGTAATAATAATAGCAGAAGTATCCAAAAATACCAAATTATACAAAAATGGCACTAAAACACACAGACACAGACACACACAATCATAGTCCATCTTGAATACATAGCAGAAAAAAACCAATTTTGAGAATTTATAGTGTTGATGCTATATGGTACAAAGCTATTACAAATCTAGTTGTTCTGCTTCGGATATCATGAAGCCTCCTCCCAGAAAGTAACAATGAAAAGCGATCATGGAGAGGATGTGTAGAATCCCTGACAATCTTGTGATAAACATTTGGCTAGTCTGAAGGACTATTATCTTGACTATTCCAGTATCAGTCACCAATTGGACCATTTCCAATGGAAAAGTATTTGTAGGCTGTGTATTACACTTCCATTACTAAGATTTATTACGAAATATCACTGCATAGAGGCCCAACAGTAGCGACCAAGATTGCTGAAACCTTAAATATGACTATACACAGCAACAAAGACTGATTCCGAGAGAGAAATTAATGAAATTAAAGAGTTTCTTACCACAGCACCAGAAGCTGGTTGCACTATCCATGCATACTCGGGGCGAATCAGCCGTAAACAGTTAATAGCTGCAAGGTAACAGTTTGCTTGTTTCTGTAATCCAGGAAGAGTGCGAACTTCCCTGCCGAGGCGCATTCCATATTCAAACATTACTGTTCCAGCTGAGGAAGGAAACAGATCCATCCATCAGAACAAGAGCTCTCCTATTCCTGATATCTATCATTTTCAGATCAGAAAAAAATACGGCAACAACATATATAGAACTAGCTTGAAAACTGTAAGACAAAAAGTGTATCTATCCCAAATTTAATCCTTCACATCTCAAAAGAACAGAAATTAAAACAGGAGATATTTGTAACTGCAAGAGCTAACCATCTTAAAAAGGAGTTTCTAATTCTAAGAGAACAAGCACAAATTGTGCTTTTCCAGTTCAAATATAAGAGAAGAACTGATATAAATGTGAAAGAAAAGAGGAAAAAAAGAAATTGATTTAATTTACATTTCACCTTTGTTATTTTGGTAAACAATTCAATGCAACATCTAATATTCCTTCCTCTAATTGTCTCAGCAACAACAACCCTGAGGCAAGTTGGGCTGAGAGAAAGTGACTGGCCCAAGGTCATCCACCCAGCTGGCTTTCATGGCTAAAGCAGGACTAGAGCTCATGGTCTCCTGGTTTCTAGCCTGGTGCCTTAAAATTTAATCTTTTAATACCAACCCACTGTTTGTTATTACTGGCAAACAGCACCACTGAATAGAGAAGTTCTCTGTTAGAGGTAAACAGTCAGGTGCTTTTCATGTTTTTGGATTTTGGATTATTATATATTTTCCCTTGCCTGGGTGCTGCAGAAGTCCATACACCTCCTAGTTGAAAATGAATAAAAACTCAGGGAACATGTATAGAATGGAAAAGAGCTTCACGTGCATCTCTGATTTGGTCAACAATTCATGGGGCCATGGTGGCCTAACGACATGGGGCCATGGTGGCCTAACGACATGGGCCATGGTGGCCTAACGGCCTGGCTGGACCGAGGTGATACCGTCTTTTAACCCATCAGACCCCTTGACCACCACCACGAGGACTTTTCCCTCTCCCAACTCTGCTGTTGGACCTCCCGCCATGATTGGGAGTTGTATTCCAGGAGGGAATTGCTAGTCCTGCGCGACTCCCCCATCGCGCAGGCATGGCCCAACACGATCCCGAGGGCCAGCCTTAATGAAAGGGTTTGGAACCCCGAGAGGTGGCACTTAGCGGCAGCAGGGAGGGATCTAAGAAGGAGGAAATTATATACCTTC